TAAATGGGCTCCCATCTGGTTGTAATGATCAGTAGCACTTTGGTGCTTGTTTATCCTCATGTTCTGTGCTTCGGCAATAAAATACTGCTTCAGTTTGTTCGATCTGTCCCGGTGCTGGATGGAGATGAGTTCACAGTTGCTGACAAAGCAGTCCCTGTACTATGCAGGGTGTTGCTTTTTTAGACAGCTGGGCAGGATCAGATGATGTAGTGACAATTAGAAGGTGATGGGTGGGAAGGGGAAAGCAGCTTGTGTGCACCTAGAAAAGAAATCATACCTTTGGATGGACAGAAAGGGACTGAGCAGGGTTTGGCTCTTCCCTCCTGTACCTGCTGGGCTCTGACATGGAGCCAAAGGCTGTGGGTGAGGGACAGGCACAGGGATCACACAGCACCACCGAGAGGGGAATGAGCTCCTGCTGCCCTTCTGGCTTACGGATACCTGGAAACCTTTGGCCTTCTCATCTCCCATTCCTGCTGTAGAGGAGCACGATCTCCTCTGCTTCATTTCCCAACGCTGTACTCCTTGGAGGCTTTTTAGCTCTCATCTGTGGGGGGGTGAAACACACATTTTTCTGCACAGAGATCCTTTTTCCCAACTGCCTGTCGTGGCACGTAGCTGCAGGAGGGAGCCAAACAGAGCAAATCTCAGCAAACGAGTTAAGCCCCTTCCGAAGCGCTGCGGCTCCGTTCCCGGTTCTGCCGCCTTCGTGCCGACTTTGCCTGGCAGTTCTGACTGAGATGGGCATTTCTCGGGGCCGTCCCAACTGCGTGCCCTGCTGGCTTTACGGGGGTAAGGATAGAGATGCGGTGGGATGCCGTCTTAGTGCGGTAATAGGGCTCACAGTGCCACCCAGTGACCGGCGGGTCCCGAAGAGCGCAGCTGCGTTCCCAGCTCTCACCCGGCGAGTTCCCTGGCCACCGACGTACCCATAAAAGATGCGACCCCTGGGGAGGGTCCCAGCGTGCATTTTGCTTTGCGAGTGCTCACGAGTCCCAGCAGGGCTCATGGGAGAGCACGGCCAGGCCTGAAGCCCAGCAACCCAGGCTGTTCAGCCCCTGCTGGGGGTCTATCCCTGGCTTTAGGTGGCAGCCGTGCTCGGTGGCTTTCTGACTTTGCACCCCCAAGGTTAACGCAGGACCTTCCCTCCTTTCTGCCCAAATCGTGCCTGCATTCCTCTCTGGGTTGAGCCCTGTGTCACGTTCCCAGGTGAGCAAGTGTCAGCAGGCAGCTTTAGCGGTGGGGCACAGGGAAAGCAGCCAGCTGGGTGCAGTGTCAGCAGATCCCGAGGTGGCTCCCAGTGCTGCAAACTGCTGCCCCAGCAGTGCCCCGACATGTTTCCAGCAGGGACTGCCTCATGGATGCAGACTGAGGCTCTATTTTGGGTGATGACTGCAGAGCCCACAGAGCTTTTGGCAGCAGGGAGGGCTTTAATCTGCCTGTCCTTCTCCAGGTACATTCTCTCCTTTCTTCCACTCCCCTCCATTTTCTGTAGCTGTCTCAGTGCCACTGCCTTAGGGCTGCAATATGTGGCTGAAACGAGGCCACTGCAGCAAGGGAGGCACGAGTCCTGCACTCTTGATGGATGAAAGTCCTAAATCTTCGCTGCCCTGAACAAGGACTGCAAGCTTTCTGTTCCCGGGTTGCTCCCCAATGTGTCTTTATTCTTGCCTGTTTAAATTTAGGCCAGCATTGGTAACAAGCTGCCATTGCTGAGCAGCACAAACCCAGCATGCTGCAGTCAGAGCCATTTCCATCCCATCACCTGCCTCTGGTCATCAGGTGGTTCCTGATGACTGTTCTGATGGAGGTGGGAAACTCAGCCCCTTACAGGCAGGAGTTGCTACTGGGTACTGGAAGTAACCCTGATGTTGTTTCTTTGGTGCTTCCTGCAGCGTGGGAGGACTCCATCAGTGACAACGCACTGCTTGTGTTGGTCAGTCCTGCCTTAACCCATCCAGCAGAATCCCAGACCTGAGCCAATTTAAGCCTTTCAGTGGCAGACTCCCCCCACGCTGATGTGTCCCACGGACTGATCGGGGTGCTATTTCTAGCAGGGAAATCCTCTTTGTTAATTTTAGAGCCAGTTCTCCAGAGTGCTGAGCAGTCACAGCTCCTGAAGGCAGTCAGGGCAGCGGGAGGTATTTGGTCTTTGAAGGCTACGGTTTTTTCTTACATGAAGAAGCCCCAGTGAGATGAATTGCATTGCCTCTGTGCCAGGTGCTGTGCTAGGCGGGGTGCCCAGGAGGCCTCCAGCCCACATGCAGTGCTTTAGCAGCAGTCAGTGCCAACAGAGCCAGTTTCCACTGCTTGTCAGCTGTGTTACCTGGGAAGAGAAAAGCTGTTCCTCTTCAAGGTCGGTTGATTAATGGTATCGCTGGTCACAAGACGAGTGCAAAAAAGAGGCAATGCAAAGCTGCAGAAATAGATTCAGCAAATGAGAGTCCCAATGAGAACTCCCTGTACTATTTCCTTATGCAGATCAAACTAGTGAAGGAATAGAATGTAATTAGAAAAAACCCTCGGGTTGGGGTCCAGGCACTCAGGGGCCGTAAGGCTGGTACGTTAGCAGGGGTGCTTCACAGTGATGGGAAAACAGGCAAGTTTGTTTTGTATGCGTTTTTAACGATACTGGATAGCGATGGTGCACTCCAGGAGCTAGCAGGGATCCCTGCTTCTTGTCAGGAGCATCCCAGGGGTCTCATGGCAGCGCTGGGCTGCTGAGCAGCAGTGGGCAGGAAGGATAACAGGAGCTGAGCACCAGGGGTCTCCAACCAGCTCCTGTTGTTCACTTATGTCTGTTCCCTTCTGTCGGTTCAAAGCAGCGCCCCTCTCTGACTCACTCCTGCATCAGCTGCGTCTCTGGGGCAGCTGGGGGAAGGCAAAGCCATGCACCCAACCAGCACTGCTTGGCCCCCTGTGTGTGAGCAGAGCTCCTGCTGCCCGAGCCTCCCCAGGGCTTCATTGCGTGGTCAGACTGGGAAACAGCGTATGGCACAGGAGCGCTGATGGTCACTTGAGGGTCACGCTTTCTCTTGTGCATTTGGTCAGGAATTGAAGAACAAATGCACAATTACAAATGAAGGATTATTCAGCACTGACTTTCAGTTGCCCTTGTTGGATCAGCCAGGATGTGCAAAGCAGGAGCTGGGTCCCTGCAGACACCCCAGATTTAGCTCTGATCCCAATTGTCTGGTGCGCCAGCGGCGGGTGAGATTGACTGCATGTGCAGGGAGGGTTCTGGTTACAAATGCCTGGAATGAAGCAAGCAGGTGCTGGGAAGGTTATCTGAGGAGAGCGCTGTGCTAATTCTCTGCTGCCTCTCACTCACCCCCCGGGTGGCACTTCTGCAGGTGAGGCTGTGTCCAGCGTGTGAGGTGAGACATCGCCACCCCCATGAGCAGCAGCAGCAGCTTTTAGTGTGGGCCGTGTCCCCAGAGAGCAGAAGTGGGTCTGAGTGTCAGCGGTGGGCGCTGGGGGTCCTTCCCTCTCCCAGGGAGGGCAGTCATGCAGGAGCAGTGCTTGCTGACCTGATTCAGGCTCTAAGAGCTGATGTGATTTCTGCTTGAAGGTGGCATCTCTGGGCTCCAATGTCAGACAGGAGGCTCACTTGGGGACAGCTGTGATGGTTTCTCTCCTCGCTGCACGCCTGTCCCTCTCAGGCTGGTTGTCCTGCTGCAGGACGGCTCAGCTGTCTGCACAATGACTGTCACAGTTTGCAGCTCTGGATATTAAGGTAACCTGAAATTGGAACTGCTTTACCTTAATACACTGAGCTGTGACTTGTGGTTCAACAGCTGCTGTGAGAGCAGCTGATACGTTCTCTAAAAAAAGGGCAGAGGACACAGTGTGGGACAGAACCCAGTGCAGCTGCTCCAAGGTGAGTCATTGCTGCTGCTGAATACAGACCAGAAAAGCCTCCCTGTGTGCACAAATTACACTGGCTATTGTAAACAATGTTTAAAAAAAAAAAAGGAAAATGGTTCATATGCTGTGACAGCGTTTTATTTTAGTGTCTCTAAGTGTACTTGCTCAGGCAGGTTTACATTGGTTGAATCTGTTAAGGAGTGTTTTACTATTGCACTGGTTCAGAAAGGAAACCTTTTAATTAAATGAGGGTGTCCAACAGGTGAGCCCAGCTCCTTCCAGAGAGCTTGTGCTAAAACTTAAGGCTTATGCTGTTCGGGCTGGCCTAACTCAGCTCACTTGAATTTAAGTTAGCAAAAGGTGGTGTGCAGCTAAGCTACAAGCAAACCCAGCTTGAGCTGCTGTCATGGGCAGCTGGATGTCAGAGAACACAAACTCAATGCACTGTAATGAGAACAGAGTCCAGGGACACAATGCAGGCTTTTAAGACATCTCCCTTGCAGCATCTAAGAGCCTGATGTTCCTCTTAAGTTTCTTTTTTCCCCCACAGCTCACTTCAAGTTTCAAAACCACTGTTAATGATGTAACTGAATGATCACAAATATTAAAAAAAAAAAAGTTACAGCTTTATCTCCACTCTTAATTTGCAATGACTGGAGAAAGGCAGAAGATGACCTCCTATTCTTCATCTGCAAAGGCAGATATTTGTTAACATCTTATGCTGACGCCATTCCTGGGACTGGAATGCCACGTTTCCCACCTGATGTACAGTTTCCCACTGCTTCAGATGTACTAAAATAAAAGCAAAATTAAAAGCCTATGTGTAAATCAGTCGAGATACAGTAAAGGAAAAACACGGAGTGAAGAACAGTGACAGGAAGAGCGCTAAGGGGCAGCACAGGGGCAGGAAGCCGTGCTATGGGTGGTGCTGGAGCCTTTTCAGTCTGCCCCCAGAGCAGTGACAGCACAGCAGGAGGCAACGCGGGAGCATCGCCCACTGCTCACAGCCGCTGCTCACCTCTGGCTGTGGTTCCACAAAGCTTCAGCTGGCACGAGCTCACCCACAGAGCAGCAGTGAGGCTGTTGGTGTTCTGCTCACACTATGGGGGTTTGAGACTGAAAACCACAAATGCTGGAAGTTGAGGCAACTTTTATTGAGACTGTACAAGCAGGGCACTGGGAAAAAGAAAACAACAACAACAACAGCGGCTTGATGTTGGGACCAGCTCTGTGGAGTAAGAAATCAAAAAGGCACTAATCTGAAGAAAAGACACTCTGTGTATTCTAAGAATATAATTCATTTAATACTGTTAATTTTGTAGCACAAAAAAATAAAACAAGCCGTGATCCCCAAAATAAACTTTAAAAGCTTACACTTTAATATTATTGCCTGAAGATCATGGTCTTTAAATTACATATTGTGTTTTAAAGTTTACACAGTGAAGACTGTCTCAAATACAAGGCCACCTTTCCCACTGCAATAATTGTATCCTCGTCCCAAAAACGCATTTTCATGTAACAACAGCAGAGGACAGCTGGAGGATGCTTTCACTGGTCCCCAAAGGCAGTCTTTTAGGCAGGTCTCGCTTTCAGATGCAGGTATTGAGAAAAATGCTTGAAAAATGGACTAGAAAACAAAGGCAGCCCCACTCGCTCCCAGGATGTTAATATAATATAAAAAAATTACTTTACAGGCACGTGAAATGGCACAAAGAATGCTGTTTCTTCCCTTTACAAAAATAATGCTCAGGCTCTTCGGAGCCCCAACCCACACAGGATATTTATTCCCTTTTGTTGATGCTTTCCAATTTGTAAACAATCACAAATTAAATTAGCGCTTCTCCAGTGATGGACACGGATTGAAACAGTTTTCATGGAAACTTTCAGACTGCTCAGAGGCTTCAGTGTCTGCACACACACACGTGCACACAAGGGGAGGCAGTGAGCCTTCGTGGTGGACAGCTGTAGTGGCACCACTTACACACTGTGCTTTGTGGCATGGACACCTCGCAGCCCGAGGAGCGTTCATTTACACCGATGGGTTACAGCCCAAACGGCAGAGGCTTTGTACAGCAACACGCACGGCAGCGAGCGGCTGAGAAGCCAGGCAGTCCTTCCAGGAGAAGCACCCTGGGATCAGATGCAGTCTTTGTCTGAAAATATTTGTCTTATAGCAAAATGGCAAAGACTCGATTTGAAGCGAGGCTCCAATCGGCGCCGGTTGGGCAGCGTGCTGCATTTCAGCACACCTAACGCCACCGAACTGACCGCTGCAGCGGAGAAATACCTCACCTGGGGCCCAAAATCTGGTTCACAGAAAGTTAACAATTCTTTCCATCAGAAGCCACTACACACCATTTTTGCATAGTTTTGAAAGAAAATCTTTTGCTTTTCTGCGCTATCAGAACATAATTCAGCCTAACACAACGCACGTGTTCGAGGTGCACCTCATCCAAGAGGAGATGAGGAAGGACGCTTAGTTTCATGAAAAAAACAACAGGTTAAAAGCTATGTTCAAGATCTCAAATCTCACAGTATTTATTTACGGACTTGGACATGCAAAGGAGGAATTCCACAACCAGTCTGAAGAGCTGCCCGGAAACAGGGCACGTCTGAAGTAAGGTTTCTCTGCAGCAGACTGAGCTCAGTGCAGTTGCTGTGTTCACAAGGTGACTTTCAGTAGTACAATCCATGTAGTAAACGTACAGGTGGAGTCAGGGCACAGAAATTCATGACCTCCTTCAGTCAAGAGAGCTGCGTAGCTTTTTGTTGCAAGACAACCCGTCGATGCCTATTGTCAAGAATTACTCTTACAGCACCAAACACTTCAGTCAATGCTACTCTACTTCACAGTTAATTTGGTAGTAAAATGCTCTACAAGAACTTCTAGACCGTCAGCCACTTGATTAATACTACAAAAGATAACTAACAGGTGAACCGAGAGTTTCTTTAAAAAAAAACCAAACACAACAGCATTTTACATCTCCTGTTGGAAATGCCATTCGTACACTTCTTCAGTGTCTTCCATTCAAGGATCTCATGGCACTTTCAGCTGAGTGAGAACAATGCACTTTTACAAGGATCAAGTGACACAATCAACAAGAAAACGCATAGGAACTGAAGACAACGATAAAAGTGACATTTGTGGGAAGCAGTGAGGGTTTGCAGGTGTCTGAAGTTTCTCTTTTTGCTACAACGGACAGCTTCAAATGTTGAAAAATGAATGCATGGGGGCACTACTGTTTTCCTATCAGACATTCCTGGTTTTCTGCAGATGTTTTCCTTTATCCAGGCTGTATTCTGTTAAATCGGTGCTCAAATTGTTTTAAAAATATGTTCCAGTTCACCTAGAAAACACACTTAAAGAAGGCAGAAGATACCACTGTACCTAAGCTTTCACATCCTGTAACAGGCTCAGGACTTGACCTGCATGGCACTGATAACACAACCATATAGTTCCCTACCAAAGGTGCAATTACAACAGTACAGCTCATGTACAGAAAAGGGGAGAGAAAGCTGTACTGATAACAGACACCTGTGTGGCCTCCTCCAGCCTAAAAATTAATTATAAGGTGGGAAAACCTTGGCAGCTGACTCCAATTAACCATTTTCTAGAGGATGCTGGGAGTAGGAGGGGTATAGGGCATATATAAGCCAGAGCCAACTCCTTTGGAAGGGTAAAGATTGTAGCATGGAAAGATTTGTGGTGTGAGGGGAAAAAAGAAAAAAGAAAATAATTCTGGAAGAGGAGCACAGCAATGTGGAGATGCCCTGGAGAAAAAGGTACTGTGTTCAAAGTCTTCAGCAAGTTGGGGCGGGTACAGCCAGGAAACTTGGGAGTGATAAGTGAGCCTACAGAGAAATGGGCATAAAAGGCTTATGTTTAAATAACAGGCTTTTATCATATTTACCAATGTCTTCTGTCCTGTTCCTTTCATACTTCTTCATGCTGTGGCAATCTGATCCATCTCCCTACCAGGTAACAGCTTGGTGACAAGCACTACTAGTTAGTAAAGTCTACTTCCAACACTGCAGAAGGGCTCTGTGTAGACCAGGCCAAAGTGTTTCCCTTTAAAGCTCACTTACTACAGTTAGTGCTTGCAAAATCAACAGAAATACTTTAAGTATGTAAAAAAAAAAAATGGGTTACGAGTGTGAACCCCTCCTAAGTTTCCTTATAAATAAATGCCTCAGCTTCAATGCAGCTCAATCAATGGTTATTTGTATTTAACACACACTTTCAGGAAGGTCAACAACAAGCTTAAGAGTTAACAGAAATGAGCAGCTTCTAATGCAACTGCTTAAAATATATAAGCTCCAATTAATGTCCTTTAAAGAGACCGTCATTGTAAGTGTACTACCTTAGGGCAGGTTCTCTTAAAACTAAGTCTTCTTCAGTCCTAAAATTGCATTTTTGTTGTTGCTTTTTGTTGGACAGTAACAGATGAGTCGCATGTTTGCTCTAAGATTAGGGCTCTTCCTACTGGGCAGGCCAAAACAAGTCCACGGAAGTCTCAAGAAGGTTTTTCTTCCCATGCTTGTCTGCTATACGCTTCAGTCTTCTCCAGCTTAAGGCCCAATACAGTTTTAAAAGTGAAACCAAATTCTGGTTGATGTATCTACGGTATGAAGGTCAGGCAGTGACTTCAGTTGTATGTATTCCAAATGTGTATTAAAAGAACTGTCAAACTGCAGCAAGCTGGAAAAATGGGCAATGCTAGCAACGTGCCATTTAGCCATCATCCCACCTCAAACAACACTAATGAGAGCCAGGAAAGGGAAGCAGCAGTGTAAATCAGATCAAGGGAATCATTCGTTCTCATCTGGGTTTTGAGGGTCAAATATTTTGACATGTGTGAATGGGAAGAGCCCTTTTCGCCCGTTGACCTCTCCTTCCCACTGACCGTTTATGTTCATCCTTGTAACCTTCACAATATCTCCAACCTGCATCATTAAAAACAGCCGTTAGCACATGAGAATCTCACCTTTGGTACAAAGCAAGTAAACAAGAACAGTAAGTACAGCTTGAGAATGAAGAATATAATATAATACCTCTGCGTAAGCTTTAAAGGGAAAGAAGTTATTTTTATTTAGCTGAAACATTTTGTTGCTGGAATCTGCACCCTTGTTGGGAAAACTTAACGTATATTTATATGTTGCAATAAATTGCTGAACCACACCTTTTCCTGTAGAAAAGCTTATTTCATGCTACAGTATATTTAACTTAGGCTGACATCACTAAAGCTACCACAAGTAATGAGATGCAACACGCATTCAAAAGAGCACAGTACTTGTTTTTAGCATTAGCAGGTTTACTTAGAAGGCAAATTCTCTTTTTCCAAGAGATTCCTTGTAGCAAACAGACTCAGAGTTCCAGCTCTGGCTGTCACAGTCTAAGAAACTGGTGTAGTTCTCTAAAATTCCGCATGCTTCCAAAGCAGACAAAAGCATTCTCAAACAGTTGTTCCTGACTATGGGATGCACAAATTCTAGCTTGGTTTGCTGCTTTCACCTTCACTTCCCGTCAGAGAATTTGAAACAGGAACAACGACTTGTCGAACCTTTCCTATCACAACTGTGTCTCTTCCTATTTGGCCAAAGACAAGGAGAGCTAAGCTATGATCAAGCAAAAAAAGCCATCAGCCCAAGTGGTAAATTACATTGTTTAATGCTGAGTTTAACTTGAATCAGGATAATTGGCAAAGCCCAACGTGTGCTACAGCAGGCAGAGCTGAGGACTGCCTACACTCGTTTCTCCCTGAACTGCTTCAGAAGAGCTGAGCATGTGGCCTGTTGCAGCAGCCCTCTAACTGCACCTCCCTTCCTGTTTACTGAGTTGCATCTATGTGGTAACTATAGTAAATATTAGACAAGTGCCATTAGCAGCTAATAGCTAAGGGCACAAAAGGTAGAGCCACGCTATGACCAACAGCAAGCACCTCAGAAGGTTCTTCCCCAGAGGAGATCCAAGAACTACACAGCTGGGTTTCAGATCAGCAGCCAACTTCTGTAAGCTCCAGAGGTAACAAGCTGTGATCTTTCTGAGGGAAAAACTACCTTGTATTATTGATACAGTGTGTGTAACAACTTGTGTGCATTATCTAAATAACACTGCGTGTAGAACTGACACAGGTGGCTTCAGGACCTTGGCAAAGGACTTTGAATTCAAACTTCTCAGTTAAGATGTGTGCATCTTCCATGAGAGAAAAAAGCCGACTTTACAAAATATATTCCTAGAGCCTCCTGAAAGCAGCTCCCATTACTGCAGTAGGGGTTGTTTGAAGATTGCTCAGAAGCATTCTGAACCCTGAAATGAGACTTAAGATGTTACAGTGAACTCTGGTGCTCAGCGTTTGTAGCTCTGAAAACTTCTCAGAAATGTAAGCTTGATGTTGTGTATTAGAATGGAGTTAAACTTATTAATTAATATGTTTGCCCCCACTCTCTTGCTCTGCTTTTACCACTACTTGTAGGCTTTTTCCACTTCCCACCCAGATGTTCCAGATGTCCCACATGGAACAATCCTCATCTTGTACTTTCCAGATAGGAAAATCCCCTCTGAACTCCTATATGTTTCTGTGATAATTGTGAGACTTTCTTCAGTTGTCATCTTCATGTATGCTGCTCATAAGCTCAAAGATGAAGCCTGTGTATCCTAATAGTTACACACTGCCTGATAGTTAGCATGCTCCTGTAGCATCAGTGTGGCTGGTTTCCATCTCTTCCTGGAATGCTGCAGCTTGCTTTGATGGTGTGCTTGAGAAAAAGCACAATTTGTCTGACTTCTCATTAAATGGAAAGTCTAGAGAAAGCTTTATATAGTAACAAGATGACTTAAACAGGAACCTAACAGAAGCCTCTTTAGGAAAAGGCTGATAACATCTATAAATAACTCTATGTTACTCTGCTAGATTTAAGTAACTTTTGAGGACAGATTTGAGTTCCAGGATTCAGACTCAAATTCAGAAAGCCTCACTGCAACAGTCAAAACCCAACAGGAAACTCTATTTGCACCACTCCATAGAAACAATTCACTTGGAATCATTTTAATCTTATTAATGGAAAAAAAATCAGTAGTACACAGGCCCAAAGAAACACACAGACTCGTGTTCTGAGTCAGATTTAATTCTGGCCACATGCTGCAGAGTTCCATCCAAAGTTTGTGCAGAAGGCCTATAAAAATATCCTTCAATTCGACTGATTTCTACAGCATGGATGGGCTTAGGACTGCAGGTGAGCAAAAATTAAAGATACAGTCTAAGTGTATTATTTTCCAATAAACTGCCATGAAGATCAGCAATCCAAGAAGTTCTTTAGACTGGGCAGGGGGAGTTGTTAGAGCTGTAGCAGCTGTTAAAGAATGGTAGCTGAGAAAAACTTCTCAGAACTTCGTCTTGTATACCAAGGACTGCTGGATGTCCTCCGCTTTAAACTAAAAGCAGTTGCCTTAAAGACTGAATGAAATGGCAGGCTGAAACAAGATTCTGGGGAAGGAACCTTGATGTCATGAGCAAGTAATTGTTGCATCTGTGTTAATGACCTCTGGATTAGCAACATCTGAAAGAATCCGGCCAAGTAGTCCCTCTCTGCTTTTTCCTCTCCCCGACACTCCCCAAGCACAGTATTTGGTAAATGCTCTTTAAAGCCTCTACAGTAGGGTCAGCTGAGGTGGGATCTCCCATGAAAGTTACTTAACATGCTGTTGTTTTTAGAGAATGTTTCAGACCGGTTGGAAGGGTTGCCTTATGATTAGGAACAGGACAGTCAGGAGATCTGGTTCTATTCTCATTGCTGCCACAAACTTCCTGTGCAATTCTGGACAGCTCATGGGCCCTTATCTGTAAATGAGGATAACACTTCCTTAGTGTCAGCATCCCTCAGATAAGCAATTCACTTGTGAAGTATGCCAGCATCACTGCATGGAAGCATCAACTGCTGACGTGAGTAATACTTCTGAAATGCAGCCATCTGGTTCCACCCAAACGATAAAAATCAAAATGCATTTTAGATAGCATCCTTTCATTATGTCCCTGTTACAGCATGAATTCAAAGCCCTGGGGAAATGCAAGTTGTGGAACATGCCAGTCAGAAAGCTTACTTCATTCACTCTAAACTCTTCCATACCTGTCTCCATTTGAAGCTGATTCATACACTGAAAAGGTTTCCTGCATGCCATTTGAGTCACGTACCTCAGATAATTTAGCATGTTCTATAGATATTCCAACAATGAAATTACTCCATTGCACTGCCCCCAGAAGACAGAAAGCTAAAAAAGGAGGCAGAGTTTGGTTGAACTACAAGCAGGACAAAATGAGACTCTGAATGAGACTCTAGATACTGGAAGGCTGAAGAAACCAAAAGGCTGAGAGCATACCTCTGTTACCCTAATTTTCATGCTCTGAGCCAGAATTATTGCTCAAACCAGAGCATGCAGTCATTCAGACCTGAAGAAAGATCATTCTTGGAGATGCTAGAACAGGTCAAAGGGCAGCACAGAAATGCTGATGGCCTCTAGATACAATTAATCTAGCCTCATCTAGGAACAGAGCGATGTAGTTTGGCAATTGTCATATCTGTACTTGAAGTGCAGAGGTGAGACTGTAGTACTACAAGAAAGCACAGTTTTCCATTAAATTATGATAGCCTGTCTCCTGCTAAGCATGTTGTGATTGCATGGAATTTGGAGGCCACAAAGCTTCAATAGAGGAGCGTTCCTGAGCCATGCTAAGTCACAGCTTTAGCACAGGAACTTGCCTAGGTTCTCTCTACTGCTTTCAGTTTCATCTGAAAATAAGCTCTGCAAACAGTTCTGAGCGTGAAGATGCATTGGACTGTAAGGCACTGAATGCAGCCACGATGGGAACAAAGTAAACTGGTAAAGGAGGTCACAAAGATTAAGAATGCATATAATCTCCAATGTAATTGTTAGCCTTATTTTCAAATGTAGCATACTGGGAAGTTGGTACATATCAGCACAGACACAGAAATCCTTCCACAGTGTCATTTTCCATTAATAGCTATCAGAACTAATGCTCCAAAGTCAACTTTTAAAATGCAGGACCTGTGCTTGTACAGTTTAAGCAAAACTGTCATCCTTGTGCTTGGAAGCGTTTTAATATTTAATGCAGCAAGACAAAATTTCCTTAGCTAAGAAAAGCACTATGCTTGTTGTCAAGTGATAGCAGCAACCTAATTTCCTAATTAAGTTCTACTACTAGCACATTTTGCCCTACTTGTCTCAACTTTAAAATAAAGAAGGAAAAAAAGTTACCTGTAACCTAATTGCAACAAGCTCAGGAGAAATATGGTGTCAGTTATGCAAGTGTGGTGATGAACAGGTATTCATTTCACCAATATATTTCAGTGAAACCTTAACTCTGTACTAGCAAATTAATACATCTGTATGTTTGGTGTGGAGGAAAAAAGGCACTTAAAAACTGCTACAAAAAAATATAATGAAACTCTGTGTATATATGTCAAAAATAATCTTAAGATACCATATTCCAAATCTGGATATCAACTCCAGGACTGCTGCTGCCCTCAGAATGGTGTCTGACAAATACCTCACAGGCACTGAGAATAATGGTAGGAACTTTGTTTTGTCACCTGGTAGACCAAAGAGTGGCAGCAGCTGCTGCTCTCCTGTTTTTTGGTTCCTTAAGTTATTCCACTCTGTTTTATAAGGGGGAAAAAAAACTAGACTGCTAGTTTTTAAAGGAATTATGTATCACTGGTTTGTCTGCTGACTTTGCTAGACATGAAGAACTCTGCTGCATAGATCCAAGCAGAGTACTCAATTCCCTGCAGATGAGCTGCTGCTTTAAGGTAAAATGCAGCAGGTCTTGGAGTGCTAGGCACTTAAACCTGCACATCATGTACTGCCTTAAACAAGGCTTCAGCAGGGTATTGCTGTGATCAGCCTGGCCGTACAACTACAGATTATTAATGCTGAGAAACCTGAAGGCAGGCTTTGCTGCCCTGTAGCACAGGAGCAGTGCCAGCAGTCTCTGCTCTTACAAAACCCAGCGCTATCTTGTGTAACCTCTGAGCACAGGGCTGCCCTCCCAGTTTTCTCAAGGAAAACCGAGGTTGAAGAAGAGCAGCGTGTAACCCTGTAATACAGAGCTCTGGTTCCAACAAATACAGGACACTGCATCCCTGTCCTTCATATTCCTTCCTCTGGAGCAGCAGAAAGGAAGGAAGTTGCCTCTTGGCGAAAGCACACAACTAAAGAAACAGATCTTGGCTGCTGCTTTTATTGTGAGGGTTTTTTTGTGTGTGTGCAGTATCTTTGGAAATGCTACATTCAGTGCTACAACTCAGTAGGGCCACAGTGAGCAACTGCAAACTTCAGTCATTTCATTAAAAATGCTACATCTGTGCTGCCAGTGTAATTAACTGAAGTGACCACAGTGACATGTCAGTCTTAGAAATAAATGCCATGCTTCCTAATGAGTATCTTTACAGGGGAAAAAAAGGACATAGCAATTACCCTTAAACTTGCTTGCCATTAAACTTTCCCATTTTATAAACTATTTCAAAGTTAAACATCCTACCAAACATCTTAACAAGGATTTTCAGGAGAATGTTCACTTTATAAATTGTATCTTTTCATGGGAGAAACTTCAAAAAAAAAAAGTTACCTTACCAAACAAGTTTCTTCTCTGTAACAGGCTATGGCTCTTTATCTTGTCTTACATTTTGACAGCTTGTGTAAACAACTGCATACAACAGAACAATCAGACTTGAAAGCAGAGAGCTTGTCATTTCCCAGGGTTCAGCTTGAAAATGGGACATCTCTCCACTTAAAAGGAAGCTGAGCAGATTACTATGCAACAGCTTTATTTACTCCAGATGGTATTCTGCTTCTTTCAAGCACTGTTTGTGTGCTGACCACAGAAAGCTAAAGCCAGCAAGCAGATATTCTGCTTTCAGACTGTTGTATCAGTTTAGATTACAAATAAGTACAAATGTACCAAGGTGTTCTTATCCACAACAGCTGAACTGTGACTGAGGCTGAATACTGCAATAATTGTTATTTTGGAAGAACACTGCTAACTTTCTTCCCCCAAACGTTCCCATAAGCTGTTCTTTCTGTGCTTCTTACAGAACTTCTAGTCTAAGTGAACCCTATCATTTTCAATAGTGTTTAACTATGACCTCCAGTAGTTTGGATTAAGGAACATGCAGAGCCCTGAGAGGGTTGGGCCAGCAAAAGGTGTTAAGCAAACAAAAGGAGGATCATGCCAGGAATTTGGAGCTTTCTTTAGAAATGGTACACGTGACAAAAAATATGTTGCTGCAAAATGAGGTTGCTCTCTTTCTCTGTGCATGGATGGAAAAGCTATAGTCACAACTCAAACCTGCGTGTTTGGCCAGAGAATGAATCCTACCAGGGCAGTTAAATGATTGGATTAACTAGGTCACTAAATAGCAAATAGGAGAAAATTCATCAGTGAGAGCCATCCTCCCAAGCAGTTCTGCTACCTTGCAGCAAAGCAGGTTCCCTCAAGTTGTTCTATGACACACTGATAACATAAAATCAACTGCTTGCCTTACTGTCTTCAGAAGCATGAATAGTTTTGGCAGGAATCTTCTGTACGGAGCAGTTGGCAGAGAATTTACTTTTCTTCCTATGCTAATTTTCACACACTGTTCACAAATGACAGGCTGCTAGCTTTTGTAAGACTCAAGGAAAACAGTGATATGTTTAATTTTTAACCCTCTGCCAATAATCACCTGTAGAGATTGTACAAGAGGGCAATTTTGGGAAACTTTTATGAATAACCAAAAGTGACAAACAAAACCTTTTGAATCTTAATGAAAAGCAGCAGCTTCATTTGCAAACTGAGAAAAGGCAACAGGAAAAGTTCAAAAACATTTTCTAAAATCCCTACTCTGCTTGCTAAGGTGCTGTTGCTTCCCTTGCTTGTTTCCCTGCATTTGCTCCTTAAGCCCCCCACCCCACACATCCAAAAAGCTACGGTTGAGAATCAGAAAAAATAACTGTATCAGCAATCCTTACCTTTCTACTTCAGTTCTCAGCCTGGAATGATCAATTAAACATCCCTTCTCTAAGATTAAGTAGAGAAGCAAAGTCACTTCCACAGAAGGACGTATATATTCTACTGCTCTTATAATATAATTCACTGTTCCATAGGCAAGACAACAGTGCATTAGGCCTGGGTTCTGAAGTAGCTTAGTCAATTTTCTCAAAGGAAGTGGTGTAGATGAAGCAATTTTTGTATGTCTTTCTTCAGCACATAACAGAACTTTTCGGTCCTTTGGCACAGATAAACAGACTCCACATAAAGTCATCCACACCTGCTCTGTCACTAACAATATTTAGTTTATTTTTCAAAACCATTGGAGAACTGTAAGACGAAGGGGAAAACTCACCTCTAATGCCAGTGCTGTCTTGTCATAAGCGCAGGGTACTCTCTTTTGGATAGCTTTGGCATAGACTGGTCCATTCTGCGTGGATGGCAGAGGGTTGATGACTGCTCCAGGTGTACTGGATACTGTGGGAAGGGGACTTGTGGTCTGAGGCTGAGCATAAGCATGGGCAGGTTCTGGAATACCGTAACTGTTGGAATTTCTGTTGCCGTGCTTTCCGATAGAAGATCTAACTAGCTTTTCTACGTAAGGAACAGGAATCATCCCAATCCGACCATCCTTGTTTCTGGCACTCCACCACTGTTCTTCTGGCTTCTCTACAATTACCAGTATTTCGCCCTTTTTAAATGGCAGATCCTCAGCATCGTTGCCAGGAAAGTCATAGAGAGTCCGAACGTATTCCACGTTTTCTTCGGCAGCAGACATAGCAGGGGCAGATCCAGATCCCATTGGTGGACTCGGATACCTGAGATTAAAAAAGTCCCAATTATCAACTGGATATCAATTAGCCGTTGTTTTGCAATGCCAGTAACAAAACTAGCCACCAGCTGCACACAAGGAACACCAGGTAAAGGAGAACTACCTTGTTCACCTATGTAGCAACATACAATAAAAAGCTATCATAGATGTAAAAAAGAAAAAAAAAAAAGGTATAATAAGGCAAAACCTTAATTACTGCTTTACTTTCTCTTTTGGATTATTGTGAAGATGTTAAGGTAGAATAAAGACCTCTGTGGCTTAAGTTATGAGAAATTGTGATATACTAAGAATAAGTGAAAAAGTTTTGGTTGACTGGGGAGGAGCTTCTGGAGAGCTACATAACCCTCTCCAGTTCATTGCATTTCCATCTTTAACCTCAGCATCCGCTTCTGTCAAGAATCCAGTAACCCTGAATGGCAAACCTGAGGGAGCACAGTGGGAAAATGGAAGCAATAGTAAAAGGAAGAATATGATAAACTCTACAGTCTTTCTGATGCTGTAGGCAGTAGAGCATCCTTGTACCAGAAGGCTACTGCTGATATGCAGGATTTGAGGGGCAGCCATATTAATACCAAAAACCCCTTTGTTTCAGGACAGAGACATATTTAATAGTCTTAGGAGACAACACGTTTCCCTTCCATTCTGGAAAGTAATATGGAATTAAGCTCCCTGATCTTATTGTCCTAACTTCAACTCTATTTAAGAGTACTTGTAATTCCTGAATATCTAAATACCTAATAGCATAACGTGACATTCTTCATAAGAAACAGGAGGAAATACTAACATCTGCTGGAAGGAACATACCACAAACACTGCTTTCTATTATATATATATATAGAAGAAGGCCAATATATATATATATGCACTTCATTAAGTCAGAAGAACTAAGAGCCTGCAGAAGCACCTGAGACGTTCCACGGAAAAGGCCAAATTTTCAAGAGAAATGAGAACTAACAGTAACAGTTGTGGAAGAAACTCCTGTCTACCCCTATTCTAAATGTAGCCCATTGATTTAAAGAAAGTAAATCTGGAAGTGCTACCTCCCACTCTCCCTCTTGCATCACAAAGTTTTTTTTATATAGACAGAAGTCCAAACCATCAACCATGTCAGTGATTTTTTTCCAAGATTTCAGAACAGTAATTGTGCTGTGGATAACCACTTCAACCCCTTTTGCAGCTTTATGAAAAAGCACCTCAGGTCACAGTATGCCAGGTCCCATCTGTCTCTGTGTGCTGAGAACACCACCACCATCTGTCTGCAATGAATGCCTTGAAAATAAGGTGGTACTAAGATGTTCAGGAAATGTTTCATGCAAGGTATGACACAAATACCCAGAGAACAAGTGGAATCAACTATGTTTAAGTTGTGGAAGCCAAGTCCTTGCTGTCCATGACTAAGAATGAGGTGGTTTGTTTTCAGAAAGGGTTGACAGTACCCAGGTTAACAAGAACAGAGATGAGCAAGAACACCACTGCAGTATAGACTTTTTTCCTCCAAACTGTCTGTAAGTTTAAACACACGCATAACCCTGTGCAGCTCCAGTTAAATGTTTCAGCACCTGTAAAAGATGAGGGAATTTTTCACCTACCCTTTTCTTTAGCCACAGCACAACCACTACCAGAAGGTTTCTCAACAGCTTTAGGAGCTCTTGAGGCCAGAGCTTTGTCACGCTCCTCCCACCACCTGACAGCTCTGCAGAGCCTGCTGACCACTTGCCTTTTTCATTTTGACGCTGTGGTCGACTTTTGACAACTTAGTGATTGTGATTAAGAACTGGACTATAATAACGTTAAACTGTGATTCTAAAACTCAAAAGTTCCCCTCCCCCCCAATAACTTGTTAACCTGAAAGAAATCCCTTCAGCTGCAGAATTTAGAATTCAAGCTATTTGATTATTATTTTTTTTTTTTTTTAACTGTGTCATTATTTTAATAGCTTTTCTCCTTCTTTTATCTAGGAAGCCCAAAGGATGAAACAAATATGTTCCAGGGTTACTGGTAAGCTGTTTAGAGATGCAGCCTGCAGGTATGCCCTGTGTTGGGTGCAGGACAAAGAATGAGCTCACAGCCAAGTCACATTTTCCCATCCTCCTAAAAGAGCATTTCTTGGTGTATGCATATGCAGAGACAAAGAGTGCCATAAGCAAACAGAGATAAATGCTTTTACCCTCTTCTGGGGGAATGCCACTCTAAGTCTGGGAAACAATGCTTTTGAATGCATGAGAATTCAATCAGCACCACGAAGCAGGAATCACAAAGGCACGACCTGTTGGAATCACTGTGGATGCGAGGCCAGAGCAACTGAGTTCTGAGGCCATACTTCAGCCAGGGAGGGGAAGACTTCTGAGCCAGCTTCTCTCAGCCGTCCCAGTAAGGGGACAATACAAGAAGGCTGATACAAAGCAAGACCACACCCTCCTGCAAGACAATTACAGCGGGTGGCAGGGATGTTCCCAGAGCCTCCGCATCTGCCTATATTCATCACAAGGACGGGCCCTACTTGCTATACTGATGATAACCGTAACGAGCAACCCACGGCCATCACCGAGAGCCCTGTCCCAGAGTTTCAAAGCAGACGAACCCCACACAGATCCCGGAGCTGCAGCACTCACCTGGGCGCGGGCTCGATGAGGGTGGTGGTATCCAAGTAGTGGATCTTGTAGAACTCCAGCAGGGCGGGCAGGTGCTCGAACTCCTGATCGCCGATCTTAAAGCGGCGGTTAGGCAACGAGTTAATGATGTAGTGGGACACCCGGGAGTTCTCGGATACCGACAGCACGTAATCCCCCGGGCAGGTGGACGAATCCCGCACCAGGAACATGCCATGCCGCTGCCCCTGCAGCCGAGTCTGCGCCTCCGCCCGCGACACCGGACCCACGTACCAGCTGGAGCGGTCCGACGAATCGAACCGGGCGGCGGAGGACATGGCTTCGAACGGGGAAGGGCGAGGGAGGGGAGGAAGAAGGCCAAGAGCCCGGAGGCCCCGCGGGAAGAGGAGAGCCGGGAGGGGAAGGCCCGGAAGGGCAGACGGCGGGGCCGGGGGCGAGGAGGAAGCGCCCAGCCCGGCGGACGGGCGGCAAAGGGACGGGGGATGCGGAGGAGGAAGCCCCGTGCCGCCGAGGCGGAGGCCCGAGGATCGCCGGGCGGGGCCGGCCGGGCGCGGCGCTCAGGGCCCCGATGTGCTCAGCGGCGCGGCGTGCGGGGCGGCATCCTTCCCGCCTGTCTCAGGCCCGGGCGGGCTGCGAGGTCGGGCGGTCCAAAAAGGCGGCGAGGATATCCCGCTACGGTGTCTCGGTGCCGGATGAGAGAGAAACGGGAGGGGCGAAGCGCCGGGCTCCCGCTTTCTTCTACGGGTTCCCTCCCCTCTCGGAGCCGAGCACCAAAATGGCGGCGGCGCAGGGCGGTGAGAGCCCTCCGGAGACACCGCCCCGCGCGTGCGCGCTGCGGCCCGCGGCGGCGTGAGGAGAGCGGGGAGGCGGGAGGGGAACGGTCCTGAAAGGCCGCCTGCTGCCGGGCTGGAGGTGTGCGAGGGGAGCCGCTGATGCGCCTCCATCTTCGTAGGGCCGCTCTCGTGCATCCCTGGCCTCTCGTGGCTCGCTGAGCTCCCTGCCCGCGGGCACTTGGCGCCCACGTTGCCTCCTCTGAGGATTTTTGGTGATGCTTTTCTGCGCGTTTTGAGTTTCACCTCTTTTTCACGTTGTTCCCGCACGAGGAGGTCGAAGCCCTTTGAGGTGATGGCTGAGGAGGAAAGAAGGGCTGAGCGGGGCCTGGCAGCGCTGGGTGCTGCGGTGAGCCGGAGCAGCAGCACGAGTCCCGGCAGCAGGGCTGATTTCAGGCAGCTCTCGGTGGTATCGCCGTGCTCGGCTGCCCCAGGTAAGGACACGACAAAGTGAACAGCACCGATTCCCCAGACGTGCTAGAGATACCTTCACAAACACTGCTGATTTTTTAGGTCAGCTCTGTGATTTCATTTGATTTTGTTTCTCTTCTTGTTTTGCTTTTGAGGCTGTCAGTGTGAAGCAGAGCCGAGTGAAGTAAGTGAGGTTTCAAATGGAGAAGCAGATTGGAGGTGACTCTCACAACCTGCCCAGCCCGGCTGCTGTGCAGGCTCAACTCCAGCTTTGCCATCTTCCCTTCATGCTGTTTATTCCAAAAGCTCGCTCACAGCGCGGTTGGTTTTTTGCTTTATTTCCTATGTTGGTAGACAGTGCCAGCTGAGGTGTTTGTATCTGTGTGGGCTCTCTCTCTCCAAGCATTGAGTTCAGATAACAAAAATGGAAGCCTCACCTCGCTCAGATTCTTATGTTTTAGCAAAAAATATTCAGGAAAATCTTGTGACATCACTAATACAGAAGGATCTTAAACTTGGTCCTGAATACATGTGCAGGTATCGCTTCACCAGCTGCCAAGTACAGCCATCTCCTGGGTGGAAAACAACAGCTGTTTAATCAGGCAGAGCAACACACGTAGAGCAATAGGGCTTGAGATGAATAGTTCCATCTGAAAATTCACACCCATGCAAACTTCTTTTAGGGAAACTTACCTAATAGGCATATCATTGATCAGTTCCTTCTAGTTGAAGTACTTTTATCTGCCAATGAGAGTCATTTTTAAGCACAGGTAAACAGGTTGCAATAGATTATGAAGGTTGTTATATTTCTCTTTGTTATTTGAATAGGTTTGAGTCATTTTCTGTGCAGCTGTGGCCAAACTACAAGACAGTACTTGAAATAACAAGCCAGATAATATTTAAAAATAATTACAAGAGCCACAAGCTAGCAGCAGAATCAGTAATACGTAGTATATGAAAAGGAAATAAAAATTCATGCTGCATTTTATTGAATTATAATTATTGTTATAGTATGATAAAAATCAAATGTAAGTCAAATATGTAATTATCTTGCCTCCATTTCATGTAAATAGCACAACTATCTCTAAAGAGTTGAAACATGTCAGGAATAAATAGCACTTGATTATAAACCAGTTTCAGCGCAGTGCTACAGAGGGCTCGAGTGATGACTGAGGAACCAGCACAGCCAGCCACCTTCCCTTCCCGAAAAGACAGAAGGGTTTTCAGTTTGAAAGGAATTGCCACAATTATCTGTTCTGACTTGAGCTTGTGCAGGCTGTGTGCATCCTTCAGGTCATTCCCCTTTCAGTTTCAATTACTGTGGTTGAATTAGGTGAAATCAGCTAGGTAAAACGCCCCATCTTCTACTTACATTAAGAGAAAAAGATGATATATTCAAGCTTGTTACCATTATCAAATAAGACCAGGCAGCAGCTTCCTAGTCTGTGTCATGAAGAGTGGAGAGATGTATGGATTTTTAGGGCTGTTTTACAGTGCCACTTTACCTTTTTATTGTATATGAATGAGTTTGTGCTCTTTGTGTTATGCATTGGCAGCTTCTGTCCTCGGAATATTCTGCCAAATATTTGCTGCAGTGCAACTGATGAAATAGGGATCTCTTGAAGAGCATCAGCTGCTAATAAAATAGAAACTCAGCTGGCAGAATATTGCCTCGTGTAAGTGCTGTCCCTCTTACCCCATGCCCAGCTGCTTCTTCCTCTTTTTGCCAAAAGCCCCCCTCCGTGGCTCATTCCTGTGTAAGCGGGAGTAACCTTGTATCAAAGGTTTAGAATGAGAATCCTTCTTTCTTTTAAATGAAGAACTGGGTATGCTTCCAAGACAAAATTAACAATCCTAATTGAAATGAGGAGGAAGTGGGAAAGGATGTGTTGGATTTAGAGGTAGGCAGCTGGAAAAGAAATACAGTAGTGAAAGCACTTAGAAACAAAACCTGAAGCAATTATAATCACTTGTGCAAATAAGGAAGCCTAAAATACTTCAGGATACAAGTCCACTAATTACAAATCTAGTAAATATTCCTCCATAGCTTTACCTCTGGCTGGCAGGAAAGAGGAAAATAGATTATTAAGAAACAAAGTTGTTATTCTTCTGGGCTTCCTAGTGCATCGGCTGTTAAAGCTTTAGAATTGTGGTCACACTGTTCTGATGAGCTGTTTGGCTCATATCTTACAGACCAGAAGTAATGTCAACTTTTCTTAGTTCATCATTCAACTGTCTGCAGTGCCTTGTGCTACAATGTGATGCTTCTTACTGCAAGGTACGAGACTGACATATCTAGGAGACTAGAGGATTTTTTAATCAAAAAGAGAAAAAATATCAAAAATCAGAATCAGCCTAAAACTCCCATGAGAGCATGTTTTCCTTGAGTGAACACAAAGTTTAGGTGTGCTAATGAAGTTCCTGAAGTTTCAGCCTCGATAGATTGATGATAATCACACCTCAGCATATCAATCTGTAATCCCTCCTGCAGTTTCTTTGTGTGGGTAACTGCACTGAGCAAGAACAACAAAGCTCTTCATATGTTTTAGACATAATTTTAGTGCAAAGTGATTTGATTATTGTTAGCCTGGGTGTTGGCTTGAAAAGGAGAATGCTGGACCAGACCATGCAGCTGCTAAATGATTAGGATGGTTTGACCTAAAGGAAACGTGCTGGTTTTTTCACTAAAACAAAATGCATGCAGTTAAGATAGTGCATATGGTACCTTTTAACTGTCATATTGTGCTCAGATGAAATGTTGGGAGTGAAAGCAAATGAAGATTTGTTTTTACCAAATGAAAATGCAGATCTGCTCATAGAATTGGTTCATGTAATGTGGATGTATAATGCTGGCAGCTTTAAAAATAGAAAAAAAGAATACAACATTCCTAAGGTATATAATGTGTTTTAAGGTCAGGTTGTTTCCTCATAACTGCCTTCTAAGCTGTGTACTGATTTGCTTTGCACAGCATCCAACTGTTATTTAATAAATAACAGTCACTAAATTGCATATGCTGATGAAGTAGAAAAATGGATCTCCTATCTAAAGATCAGTATCCAAACTCTGGAGGAGTGATAGGAAAAGGCTGGGAAAAATAGAAGTGTGAGTTTCCTCATGACATTTCTTTAGCTTAATAATTACATCTTGCATTCCCCTACATAATTTAAGCCCAGTTTAATTAAAATAGTAAGTAATGCCCTCTAGTGGAATACATAGGAAAAGGAAAATAAGCCAGACAAAGAATGATCCCATTTTTAATTGTCATGGAAGAGGCTAACAACCATTTTCCCTTGAAATACACTGCTTATCACTGCTCTGACATGCTAGTTAAAATGTGAAACACACTGCAAGCAGTGCAGTCAGATATGTGCTATGGGCCAGGGTTACATGGAACACCTGGATCTACAATGTGGCTTGGATCACTAGAGTGTGGAATCACTTGGTCAGTGTGCAGGCACAACAGATTGCCACTGCAATGCCTGCAGTCTGGAAGGAGTGTTTTTGTGATGTCAACCTCAGATTTGTCATTACATGTGAGAGCTGCACTGAATTGTTACAGGTCCAAAATAGCTCTGTGGGCTAAAGATGAATACACCTCAGGCTCCTGTATTGCAGTATAACAGACTTTATTATCAAAATGGATTTTCTGAGGAAGCTCACGTATAGGGTTTCCTGCTTTGTCAGGTCTTCTGCTTTATTTGCCAATTGGCAAAGGGTCCAAAATTGAGATAAAAACTGACAGTGCTGAAGAAAAACAATCTGACTCCCCAGCTGGAAAAAAATAAAAAGCCGTTCAAATCCTTCTAAACCTTTTCCAGAAGCCCACTGTACTCATGTGCAGTCAGTGGAATCCATTTCGAAATCAAGAGATGGGAGAACGTTTCTCTGAAGTAGCAGGCCAACGATTATTTGTCATGTGATGATTACTGAGCATCACTTTGGTTTCACCCTTCCTCCTGCTACTGCTAGAAGTTTTAAAGGCTTTTGGCTCATGATTTTCATGTGGCACCCATTAGTCCCTGCCCCTCCAGGAGGGAAGGAGCCTATAATGTCCACATATCACAATGGTTTGGACTTTAAATCAGCTTCTAAACTAATGTCAAGCAAAATCAAAATGGCATTCAGAAGTGAATCATTTAAGCTTCTTAAGCAAAGGCTTTTCTATGTTTTATCTTTTTGAGCTGTGGTGATTCTGTTATTTTCCTGTCATTAGTTCAGCTACCATAGGGTCTTGGATGAGTGGCTTCTTCACTACTGCTTGTTATCTGCTTATTACTTCCCTCATCTGAGGCAAACCCATTTCTTCTCTCTTTATCCTTTTGTAAAGTGTATATGACAAGAGTGAATAAAAAATCAGCCCATTCCCAAGCTGGTGTATCTTCACTGATAATAATGTAGTAACATGGATCTAATTGAACTCTCCATATTTTAGATTCCACATCATGGTTAATAAAACTGTCACAGTAGTTAAAAAGAAAAAAACGTTCTGACAAAGATTTATTAATTAATTTATGATTGTGAACAAATGTGTCTGACAGTTGAATGATGAGATTGCCTTATTCTGTACAAAGAGCTGTTTCTAGAAATCTTTCTGCTGCGTTGTCAGCACCTGTAGTACAGAAATTTGGGAATGGATGTCAGTTCACAGACTCTAACCCAGCTATGAGGATGGCTGCATGCCCAGATGAGATGAAGATTCAGATTTCTTCTACTGTTCCTGCTTCTGTATGTTCAGTCTGGCTAGAAATGATCAGGCTGACACCCGGCACAGGAGGGAGGTGCTAGTTCTTACCTTCCCATGTTAGGCTTGCTAGAAGGTTTTATTACCAGAAAAAATAAAATCTCCCTAAACTCAAAGAGCTATTTCACATTAAAAGCTGGAAGGAAAGAAGCCAGTCAAGCTGAGCTTTCTGTGCCTTTTTTTTTTTTTCTTTTTTTTTTCCTGTCCACGCTGGAAGTTGAGAGAAGTCTCCTTCAAAGGAAATGAACCTCTCTACTTTATCTGGGGGGAAATGGCAGTTCTGTGGTTACTTTAAAAATTCTGCTTTCTGGCAGGTGAGCAGATACTGACTGGTAGTGGCATTTTGTGCAAAACACTTGCAGATGAGCAGATAATAACAGCGGATGTCATTTTGTGCAGAACACTTATTTTTCAAACTTTTAAATACATATTTATGGATATAAGAAAGACATATAAAATCTTTATGTTTTTTTCTTTTTTTTTTTTTTCTTTCAAGACTTAATTTCCTCAACTACTGGCAAAAAATAAATACTAAATTTTTTAATCTTCACTTGAATTGTCAAATTCTTCCCAGTCTGATACGCTCATAACTTCTGATGGAAGGTCAAGGTGATACTTCATGCGGTCTGCATGCCATTCTGAGAACCATTTCTCTGTTTCCATTAAAATAGCCCTGGGCAAGGTGAGGACACAGGCAGCCATCCCAGAAATATCATCCTCCAACTGGGGTCCGTCCTCCCAACAGTCTCTCTCTGCATCATAAATGTGGACATAGTCCATGCGGATTCCTCTGTTGTGGGATCTGCCTCCCAGGACGTAGATCCTGTTGTCTAAGACAGCGATACCTGGCTCTCCATGTCCTGCAGGAAGTGGACATACATTTGTCCACTGATCAGTGCTTGGCCTGTAGCAGGCAACCTGTATAAGGTAAAAAATAGATTAGCCAAAATTGAACTTGGATCTTAGTGACAGAGCCTGGCTGGATGGCAAACTACTCATGCAGCCACACCATACCACCAGTCCTTCGATGGGCACTGATAACACAGAGCACGCTTCTCATGCAGTAAAAGTACAATGCTCAGTAGAACTGTGCATATTTGCCATATAACTCAATCACAACGTCTGACCCAGCTGTTGTGCTAACAGCTGTATGTCATTCAAAAAAACAGATACAGAAGTGTGAGATGGGGACATGTTAATATGAGCTCAGACACAGCGCACCTGTTTGCAATAGGAACAATGTGCTGCATCACACAAACAGGACAAACCTGCTAACCATCTCTGCACCACGTGCTGGAAAGTTTTAGATTGCAGTGGGTAGCTACTCTACTAACTCCACTTATTTGTAAGCATCTTTTTGTAACTCAAACTTTAGCTTGAATTTTGCTATCTTCATTGGCTTTAACAAAGCAATTACTTTTTTTTTTTGGTCTTTTTTCATGTCTTTAGCAGTTATAGAAGTCAGAGTAAGACACAAGAAAATTCTCCATTCATCACTGCCCATCAGGTACTATATATTTTATTGCATTATACAATTGCCATCCAATCCATTCATTGTGCTTTCCAACGTATCCTTAACAAATCCTGTCCTGCAATTGTACACTGCTAATTCCAAGGTTCTTAACTTACGAAAAAATACATATGAGAAGGCAATTAAAGGAAACTCAGCTGATGTGCTAGTTAGGGGCTATATGCATGTGAGTGAATGTCATTCAGCAAAGATATTTTAAAATTTACATGAATCTCAAATGCTAGAGCTTTAATGCTTAGACAGTGCATTCAAGACAGCAGCAAATAAATCATGGCAAGTTCTGCAATTAAGTGGAAGAGAGCTGATGCTAGAGAGTTTTACTTGCGTACTTAGGAGGAGAAAGACATCAGTGTGAAAGCATCTATAAGAAACAGACTCTTCCAGGACATAGGTATGATAAGCTCTCACCTGGTGAACATCCCTTCTGTATCCAGAATCATTGTTGCTTCCTCCAATCACATAGAGCTTTCCCAGCAGTGCAGCCATCCCATGCCAAGCACGTCTCTCTGGACCATCTGCTAAAACTTCCCAGCGGTCAGTCTTTGGATCGTAACATTGCAGCTCCTTCAGATAATCTTCTCCTCTCCTCCCACAGGTAATGTACATCTTCCCATCCAGTGCTGCTCCAGCGTGTGCATATACCTGCATCACCACGTGGGAAAGCAAGAGTTGGAGGTCTGTGTTTATGTATTTCTCCCAGGTTCAAAGTATGGAATAGACATTAAAGAAGTGACATTCTTCATGAGTTATGCAGATATTAACATTTGAAAGGATTTTCTATTTTTTTTATAGACAACTCCTTTCCAGGTGATTATGTTGAAAGTGTGAATTTCTAAATTAATTACCCCAGAATTTCCAAAACTTCCAGAACTGCACTGGGTTGTCATTTCTTACTATTTCTTTATTAGAAACTCATCCATATAGTTACTTTTCTCCCTTGCCTACTTGGAAGTCCATGAGCTAAATAGTATACAGAAACTGATGTACCCTCACTCAGAGGGTGGTGAGGCACTGGAACAGCCTGCTCAGAGAAGTTGTGGATGCTCCATCCCTAGAGGCTGGATAGGGTCTAGGCAACCTGATCTAGTATCTGATCTAGAGCCTGATTTAGTGGTTGGCAAGCCTGCCCATGGCAGAGGGTGTTGGAACTAGATGATCTTTAAGATCCCTTGAACCTGAGCCATTCTGTGATCCTATGGTATCTTCCTAGTATTTGATGATTTCTTCTAATTGGGAATAAAGCATGCTTATCAGGACTGTAGATAAGAAGCTTATACTACTCATGGTTTACCTACCCCAGGAGGAATGGGGAGTTCCCTGACTTACATGTTCAATTTGAAATGGTTTTAAGGATTAATACAACAGAGGTGCAGGGGAAAACAGGGAGAAAACAAGAAAAATAAGCATTAAACCTCAAAATTAAAGTTCAACATTATTATTATTCTTTACTGGTATGTTTATCTCAAATACAGAAGTAGCTTCCCATGTGAGTATCAGCAAAATGAAAGCTATGCATGAGAAAAGCACCTAAAAAGATGAAATTAGGAACTGGGGAACTGTATCAGTGCGTGTGGCTAACAAACTCCTTACCTCCTTCTTCAGAGGTGTCACATATTCCCAAGTGTTGCTTTTAGGGTCATACCTCTCCACTTCTCTCAGGTCTTCATGGTAATCTCGGCCTGCGACGGCGTATATATAATTGTCCACAACACAAACACTGAGGTCAGCATGCTCTTGCTGTAGGGACTGGATCTGGAACCATTTGTTGTGTCGTGGGTCATACCTTGTAAAAGAATGGGATCAAAGGAAGTGATTCATACATCCACAGAATCATTGCTGGAATACAAGACAGCACCACACATGGGGTTATTGTACTGTCTTTGGTTGAAATTAAATTCAGCTGTAAGTGGAGTGAAATACAGCCTTGTCAGCATCTTATTATTAGCAAAGTTCTTTTTGTCTATTTTTAGAAGATGTATTTCAGCTGATACAATCATGCTATAAAAGCCTAGGTTTTCTATTGTCTTATACATGCCTTCAGATTATGCATCAAAATCTGTTAGCATAAAGCCATTCTACAAGGTCAAACATTCTAACAGTAGCACAGACTGAATCTGGATCTTCAAGACATCAAGAGGGTGCATAAGCATTTCGTGGCTTCTTTGACTCTTTTTTTCCAACATATGTGCTGCTTCAAGTAAGCCTCATGATTAATTTTCAGATATAGGGATCTATCCAATCTGGAAATTGTAGTTACAGTGACAGCTGATGGTGAAGGGAAGATGTGCGTGGCATGAAATCAGGGCAATTCCACTGTAATTAGTAAAGATAAGATGATTACATTATAAAATCAAAAGGGTTTATATCTGTTTTTGCAATGTAATGGGCATCAAGATCTAAAACTGTTCCTTTCTCCAGTGCATTTTTTTCTGGCACAGAACTGAAGACAACCCTGGAATGCTGCTACTGTGCATGCATTTTCTCAGTAATTAACTAATAGCAGCATTTTACTAACAAATCCTTTCTGGTGGCTAAATCCCTTTGCACAGGGATGAGAACTGCACACAGAGGACTTTTGGAAAATCTCATTTCAAGAGCATCTAGACAGTCTAGGATTCTGGAAAATTCTAGTTCATTACCATTTCCACACCTTTAATACTTCACTCCCTCCAACAAAGAAGAGAAGGCTGTAATACTCCTGAATAAGCAGCTGTTTCTACGCAGTCAGGAGTGGCATTGCTGGAAGCTTTCTGTTGCTATGATGCTAATTTCCTTATTTCTCATTATTTCTTTCAGTGAGAGGTTCCTATCTTTTTTGCCAGCAAGCATACAGACTGCACTAAAGGCTTACTGACTCAGAGATGGGCAATGGGGTGGAAATGAGAATAGTAGCAGGATTATCCTTATCTTACCTCCAACACCTCGACTCTGCTCGAAAACCACTTACATTGTTGTCTCCGCCAATTAAATATACAAAATTATTGAGAACAGCAATCCCCTGGTTGGACATTCTGGGGGCTAGTGCAGCTGTAAAGTGCCTCCACTCTCCCAACAGGGGGTTCAGATACTTGGCTTGATCACTGAGAACAATGGATGGAGTAGAATGCATCCCTCCAAATCCCACTACACACTGGAACTCTGATCTCAGCTGTGTCTGGGAGCTCTGGAGCATTGGCTGAAGACATTCGTTCTTGTGGTACATTAATGCATCTGCGACTGTATCTTTTAAAGGACATGGACTTAATTTGTCATGAAGCCTTTGCAGGATCTGGGGTTCCATCAGAGGAAATCGAACTGTCTCAAGTAGCTTAAGGGGCTCCATCAGGGAGACCTGATCTGTCTCCAGTTGCTCTGGAGAGTAATGATAAAAAAGTGCACCATCATAAACTTCAAATTCATAGTTAACCTCCAAACGGTTGCTACTGAGCAGGGAGTAGACCTTCTGCAGGGGTAGCTGGCGGTATGCTTGTGTCCTTGAGAAAGCTGCAAAGTTCTTCAAAATGTAGGAGTCCAGCTGATCGCTCAAATGTCTCAAGTCATAATGGTCAGCTAGTTTGTATACATCCAGGATGTTCTCTTCATCTACCCAGGACATTAGAAAATCACAACAGAACTTAATGACTTCTGGAATCTGCAAGAGAGAGAAATCTTTTATTTCATACACCATTTGCCTTACGTTCCAAGATACAGGTGACAGAAGCATAGAACTTCCAAGCTTTGGAAGCTTCCAAAAACTGTAAAAAAGTTGTTGACAAGAAAATGGCTCTTCTCACAATCTGATTGCCGTGTTCACCTTTTTCCAGAGAAAAATCACAACTCAACTTGGGTATGCAGATGAATATAACCCAGATCTTCTAGCCACACTATACTGCAAGCCTTTGAGTTTTGCTTCTCGTGCAGCAGCAATGCATCTTCTGGGGCACATGGGATACTGAACAGCCAGGCTGCCACATTTGTTAACATGAGAGATGAAGGCTGCCTGGGAGGCAGTCATGGAAACAAAAGGCATGAAGGACATGGCGACAGCTGCTCCCTCAGTTGCTCTCTCAGAGCACTACAGACACGCTATATCACAGATTGTAACTATAACAAAAATATCTGCATCACTCAAGTGCATAAAAAGCCATTTGAGAACATTAGCATTTAGTGTTGTCTTCTGAGTACTATCTGAAGTTGTATCTGGCATGAGGACACCTGGCAAATAACAACTGATCAACAGTCCCTCCACTAATAAACTGGTGCTAAGTGTGTAGCCAACCAAAGCACCCAGAAAGTTTAAGGTTAGTACCAAATCCTGTGCAGCAATTAGCTGCAGGGAAAATTAGAGAAAAAGAACTGCCTTGAAAGCAAAAGGCACTTTGTGCAGAAACCATGGTGGCAGTGATGAGGTCAGGTAAGGTTATGTGCCTGTGGACTCAATCTGGGGTAGATCTTGGCAGGTTTAAGCAGCTCAATGGTTTCTGAGGAGCACACCTTGTCCTTTATCAGAGGTGAGCAGTATTCTATTCTAGGGAAGCTTTTATATGCTGATCAGTGAAAGTGAGTGCTTCATAAAATAATCTTTTAGACAAAATGATGATGAAACCATAGCACAGATCAGACATGCAAGCACTGGTTCATTGTTCTAGCCCTTCCAATGGTTACTGTATCCCAAAGAAATTCTTTTCAATGGAATCATGCTCTGTTTCACTCCCTAGCCCTCCAGCCATGTTTTCTGTTTCTTTCATTCTTTTGTTTCTTGCTTCTTTTTCATCATACCTCCCAGCACCTCACCTGAAGCTGACAGGCTGCAGCTAAGGTTTCCTGTACACTGCTGACACTGAGTTCCAGCTCAGAAGTATAAATGAAATTCAAGATTTTACACATTGCGTTGTAGGAGATTCCATGAATATGAACTTCTTCTTGTTCCATCTCTCTCAGTCCTCCTGCAAACATTCCTCTGTAAAAAAAAAACTGTATTCAGTTTGCTTATCTTATTCTATCCTGAGAACATAACAAAATATTCAAAAAGATAAATCCTAGTCAGATAATTCTTTGGGATTACCTCTTTTCTAAGCCGATGATACAAAAAGCACAGACTTTCAGGACCTAAGAAAGGAATACCTCTCATTCTGAAGGAAAACAGTGGGGAATACCTGAAAGGTGTAATTCACAGTGGAAGGATTTAAATACAGACTCAGTACATAGGGAGAGGCAGTGGGTGAAGGCAGATACTCCAGGGATTGGGGAAGAGAAAAACAGGAACTTGAGTTTTTTTAAGCTAGAGCAGTTCTTCCAGATTTGTCTGGACTGCCTTCGGATTTATTTGTTTACAAAAATAGAGTGAGTTATCTTCTCCCCTTTACATACCTCCGAGGCTGTGAATGCAGTGGAGGTAAGCTCACAGTGCACTAACAGGAGCTTTATTTCTACAGACACATAACAGAAGGCTGAATAAAGCCATTCGTAGCATTCTGAAACCCATTCAGCTCTACCTTGTGGATCTAATTCTACATCAGGAGGCAGTGTGCGCAGTGTGCTAACAGAAGATTTGGAAGTTGCAATGCTGCTTTACGCTCATACACATGCTTGTTACTGCTGTGCTGAAAGCATACCTGAAATAGTCACAAGATGCAGCTAGCAGTATCCGATGAGCCTCAATAGGTTTCTCTTCCACTACAAGAACTACATCAAAGAGGATGCTGCTGTCTCGGAGAGATACCAAGCCACTGAGCAAAGCCTGAGAGTGCTCCGCACTGCGGTATGTGTTGCTGGTGCGCTGCTGAAGGGAGGACTCGAGTTGAGCTTTGTGTGGCTGAGTCAGCTCCTGATCCTCCGCCATCCCAGGCAGAAATGTTCAGCCAAAAGCTGCAGCAGAATGAAATCTGTGAGACAACAGAATCAGCAAAGGTTTGTGTCTTTTGCTTACAAACGGTCCTCTGACTCATCTATCACAGTAAATAAATCAAACCAACTCTTCAGTCAAAGGAGAACCATCAAAACCAATTCTACCCAAGAGAAATTATCCCAAATGATATGGAAAATAGGCAGGGATATATCAGCATGTCAACCTGGCAAAACATGGCATTGCTAACGATTTTTTGACTCCTGGTTTTCCAGTCCAAAAGTATGCTGCATGTGGGGATGTACACATATTTTCACTTCCCAACCTATTGCCAAACCCCTTGTTTCCTTTGCATTTCTATGATGTCTGTAACAAACAGCAGATCTCTCACAATTTTTCCCAAATTCCACATTGCCTAATATCCTCAAACAACTTTGTTGTAAAAAACAAACCTGCACCTTCGGTCTTTTGCTTGATATTTTACCATAGAATCTGAAAGCTTTATTCTCTCCTGTTTTATGCTTTATCTTCCTTAGCTGAGCACATTTCCAGTCTATACAATACCATCTGAGACTACAGGCTTTGCAGCGAGCTTCTTTATTGTGCTGACTTCAAGCTAGCATGTACAACTCCTTTTGACTTCACTGTGGGTCTCTGCAGAGGGGATATTTCCTTTGGTGTAGGCACTGTAGAGGGCTATCCCATACATCTTTGTGCTGCTGCCACTGACGCTACAGGAAAATCCTTACAGCATATGGGGAAATGCCTGTAAAAAGCTAGCTGGAAGTTATTGTTTCATGCCCGTAGTTAAGCTCTCAAAATCTCCTAATTCCTTTGTTAGCATCCTGTAATTTACCCTTTCTATTGTCTTTGAAGAATGTGAGAAGTTGCAGCAGTTAGATCTGATGGGCTATGCCTAGTTGTCAGAGCAGACACTCAAAAAAACACATTAGCAAAAGGAAATGCCTTAGCTGACATGGCTGCTTAAGGCACAGTTATAACAGCCTCTCCTCCAGTGGCTCTGGGAAATAGCTTAGTGGTGTGAGGGACAGTCACAAGGAGCCATCAGCAGTCAGAAAAGCAAAAGCAGAACAAATCCAAACAACCAGTGAAGAGATGAAACCACTGCTAATTGTACCAGCCATAGACAGGGAATGCCACGTTAGGAATCTCCCAAAGTACTGCAAGGTATTCTGTGTGTGGTCAGTGAGGAAGAAGCTGTCTGGATGGCACTAAGAAAAATGGAAACAGTTATTGCACTGCCTAAGGAAGTCACCTCATGCTGTCCAAAACAAAAGGAAGCTAGGTGCCACTGCTTCCTGGGTGGGATGGAAAAAAATTGCAAATGTATATTAATGGCTGTCTGCTCTTTGCCAGCAAAACCAGGGTAACGAGCTCAGAAGAAAGTCCTGATGAGACTGCCTTCTAGGAAGCACATTCAGGTCGATTATACAGGGAAGCTATCCATCATCAGCTGAAGAGATGAATAATGGATTCTTTTTCATGACAGGTAGATGTTTTTCCTAGAAATAAGATGACTGCCTTTGAAGCAGACAAAACATTACTGTATCATTTTATTTGCTCCTTGGAAATACGAGTGATAGATTGAGGCAAGGCAGATAATATTAAAAGAAAAGGCAAGTGAAGGAGTGAGCATTACTAGGTGTTGATCAGAAATTCACTAAGAGAATAAATACAGCAAAAACAAATTAGGCTAAGATACTGTCCAAATGAGGAACAAATTCAAACAAACCACATGTACAGAGCTGATGTGTTTTAATGTGATTAATGCTAAAAAAAAAAATGTACCTTTTCAACAAAATAGGGAGTTGTATCAAAGTGAGCCTCTAAAGAGTGAAATAATTTCAACAAAAAGCAGACGTACATGTAATAAATGAGCTGTTTTCTGAATTGTTAGACTTTTGTTGGGTAGAGAAAACAACATGACCTTTGATGCAGCCTAAGTGTGTGTCAGTTGTAGGTGGAACTGAGGCTAGAGAAGAAAAGAATTGTGATGTGCTACAGTTAAACTGGATGTTGCTTCTGCACAACAAATTTTAGCAAAGGCATGTGTTGTAGAAGTAGCTTAATTATATATTAATATATATATCACATTATTTCCATGGATTGTTGCCTACTTGCCATTGAACAGTGAGTGGAGGATGAGCAGAAGGAATCATTTAGCTGATACTCTGAGTGCCCTCAGCTGTATAAGAGGCAGCTTATACAGCTGGGATTGGGTGGGTACAGCTGTGGAAAATGGTTGCTTGAGTGAGGGTAGGGGAAAATTGGGTTGGTGTTGTGGTTTTCTGAACTAAGTGTAGTGCTCTTGGTTAATTGATAATGTTATGTATGTCTCTACTGTGTTAAATATAGACTACAAAGTTGCTACAGAGGGGTATCACGTTAGCACAACAGTGTCTTGCTTTGCAGGCTATGTGATCTAACTGCAGTTTTTCTCTAGTGTGTCTTGTGCCTTTGTTACTGCCTACAATCTGATAGCCCAGCAGTGGAAGTGTGCTATTTCATGTGCAGTGTACCAGCTGGGTGCAGGGAATCACTGCTAATATATCTAGGAATTCTTGTGCCTTGTCAGTGTCTGTCAATCTTAAAAATGACAAGGGGCTTTATTGTAACTGTACATTATCTAACCCCATCTCAAATCTGCATTTTGCTCAGTCTTCCCTGTAGAGGGAGGAATAAAAGGGCTAAATGTAGTACAAGGGGTACAGCTGTGAATGAATGTACAGAACAGACTTCTTCAATTTCCTGCATGCTGCAGAAAACCTTCTATTTACTATTTTTCCTTCCTGACCATGCATGAACTTTGTTGTCTTGTAAGCCATTTTCACAGGCTAGCATATCCACCCTTGTCAGTGAAGGAGCTGTAGGCAGGCCTTTCCTTCCCATTACAGTCCCTTGAACCATGCAGCTGAGTCTTTTCTGTTGTGGGTCTCTCTAGCATCAGCTTCTTGAGAGCAGAATGTTCTTGAGGCATTTCTGTTCTACTTTTCTTACTGAGAAATTTGGTCCATGACTGAGTAACGTTCCTAGAAATTTAGGGGTTTTTCCTTTTTTTTTTTTCCTTATTGATGTTGGGCAGCTGTTAACTGTGTGACTCAGGAGCTGAGAACTGCAGGACTGACCTTCAAGTGGAAGAGATGAATTCTTTAATGGCAGCAATGACAAAAAGCGTCTTCTCGCATGCTGTGGGATTCTGTCTCCAGAAACAAGGGAAGGCAAGTCCTGTTCTAACTCTTGTTCTAAGCACCTTAAAACTGTAGATAAAATCAGCCTAGGGACTTTCTTAGCTGGCTGCATAAAGTCCTACAGATAGGTTGTTTTGTATTCATCTTTCAAAGTTAGTGGTTAGTGGACTGAGTAATATTGGAGTGTTACAACTGAATATCTAATGCATAAAGAGAAAAGAGATATATGAGGTCAGTAATTGCATGTGCACTTGTACAGACAATGCTAATGTGGGAAGACACATTCTGCTTGGTCACTTCACATCAAGAAGATATAAGAATAAATACAGTCACCCCCCAAAAAAATTAAACTCAACATCTTCAGAGCTATCTAGCACAACACAAATGCTCTTATTCAATAGGCTGAAATTTTCACTATTTTGTGCCTGGATTCTATTTAGAAACCATGAGAAAGCATCTGTGTCTTGCAACCATAGAGACAGAGGAAGCATCTGAAGGAAATGAGTATTTCCTATACTATGTTCAAAGTTCATTTTATTATTGGTTATCTCTTGAAACAAGCTGTGGATGCACTGGAAGCTAAATATTTTAGAGGCTTGCTGATAGCTCTGTGATCATCTTGTATTCAATCTTCATTATCACAGAATGTTTCTGCAGAACACTTGTATGGAAAAAAAAAATAATTATTCAACTAAAGTAACTGTTTATCAATGTATGAAAAGAACTGTGGCTTGGTGTTTTAACAAAATCCTCTTCCTGATCAATGACAATACTTGCCTTTACGCTAAAGGTATGCAGCCTATGAGGGAGGAACTTGGCAGTGGGACAGGAAGAGTTGACATTGTAGCTTGATCATTCAAATAGCAAAATGGTGAGACTGGGATGCTGGCTTGCTCTTGTGCTCACTGAAAAACTTCATCTGTTTAAGAACACAGGGTATAGGAGTGGGGTAGCTCAACTAGAATGGGGAAAGGGAAAATTAAAGGTATGCTAAAATAGGTGTGGTATGGGACTTTAACACCAAGATGTTTGTGTACTGCTCCACTGAAGACCAACCTGAGGAGTGGCAATTTATCAGCTTACAGTATATGCTTCCTGAGACTGAGAACAAAGTCCTGCTTCCCTACAAAATAATCTGTGTTGTACCTTCCAGCAGCTGGGTCTGGGCATGTCCTGGGTACATCCTGATGTCAGTATAGGTATATTCAGCCTTTACACTTTGCTGAGATATGCAGTGATCACATGCTTTAAACAGACTGTTGATGATTCAGTGTGTTGAAACCTATTATTGATATTGCATGGTACAATAGAGCCCTGGATTCTGTGACTAGCATCCAAGTTGCACAGTGATGCCTACCAGTGTGTGCTGGGGGTGGTGGGCTGTTCAGAGAGCTTGGTTACAGGAGGGGGAGTAACCAAGTTAGTTCCTATGGAAACTCAAGACGTTTTTGTATCAAATTGCTTCTGGCTGTCAGTTACATCTCTGTATATGAGGAGGTATCTTACGCAGATCATGATATTTTCTTCTGCATCAGCTGTGCCCAAAATAAACTAGAACTTGCTGGTGTCGGGTATCCTAATGCTGTTTAGCTTGCTGCCATATGGACAGGTGGTTCGAGCCTGGTGGGGGTCCAACACTTTCTTAGAACTGTGGGATAATTCAGGCTGGAGAGAACCCTGGGAGGTCTCTAGTCCAGTCTCCTGCTCAAAGCAGAGAGAACTTAAAAATGAGGTTGGGATGCTGGTAGCTGTGTCTAGTCAAGTGCAGAATATCCATCCGTTGTGATATTTGGAAAACTGAGTGCTTGACCAGCAGGCTTGTTTTCTTTTTTATCCTGTCTGAATTCTGCTCCTGCAGTTTATGGGATTTGCCCTTTCATCTTCACCTTGTACATCGAAGGGAATGTAACAGCCATGCCCTAAGGCTTCCCACACCTCCATGTCTCCCAAGGGAGTAGGAAGAATTAGGATCTAAGCCAGCCTTCAGCTGACAGCCTGATGTGAGACAGCAAGATACAAGACTAGAACAAAATGCTAGTTATGCTGACTCTCAGGGGTTGCAAATGTGAATAGGCAGAACCTGGCGAGGTACCAGAATTCAGCAGGGCAGAGGGCATGCAAACAAATAAATCAACTAGTCAGGGAGCGTGTAGAGTGGGGAGGCAGCTGGGTGCCTGCCAAAATAGCTGAGAAAACAGATGTAATGCCACAAACAATGTAAACTGAAAAGCAAAACTATTGTTCAGCATAACTAGAGTGCAAATACTGGAATGATTTACCAACTATACCATGATTTGCAATGGGCACTTGCAAGTTTGCTATGTAAGAATGTGAGTATACCATTTTGTGTAGACATAGTTAAGTTAGCTGTATGGCTCTTGAAGAAAATTGAAAGAGAGGAGGTATGAAAGAAAAACAAGCTTTGTGCAGCAGGCTTCTTTCAGAATTATCCCTTTATGCAGTCACAACTGTGTGAAAAAAATATATATCTTCCTCAAGTACCTTTTAACTTAGGGAACCTTCTACAAGTAGGAGAAATAACCCAAACGATTCCTTTAGCCTAAGGTCCTCACAAAAAGAAACAATGGTACCTGGAACCACATGGCATCTGATTTAGTTCTGAGCACTCAGTGATGGGAGTTACGTTTTTCTAGGCCTACACACGCCATCTTCTCTAAGTCACCAATGCAGACATGCAAGCACATCCCTCCAAGCTGAATTTCTGAGTCATGTTCAGTTTCTAGCATTAGTAGTATATTTGAAGTGTGGGAGGGAACCTAAAGGTGTGATTTGGGAAACAGCTTCTGCAAATGATGCTGTCTCACAAATGTTGGTATTCATTCCTTTCAGAAACAAAAGTTTGGGGTTTTTTTCCCACCCATGCTGCCTTTTACAATGTATTTCTAAGGCACACTGAGACTAAAACATCTTATTTAACATAGATATGGCAAAACTTCCATGAAATCTACCCATATTTAGGCACACAAATATTTTAAAAGATTTTTTTTCCCCCCCCCAAAAGCAGGATAACCTAAAGAGCTGCCTAACTTGAATATTTTCTATAATTTTGCATTACTCACAAACTGATCATGTCTTTCTTGTAGCCTGCCCAAATTCATGGAGCTGTGAAGTCTTCTGATGGGTATTTTTGGGAGGTGGCCTGTGGCCCTAATAACTACAGAATGGAAGTTGCAGTAAGGGAAACAAATTCAATACAGTGCTATCTCATACAGTGAGATAACAATCTCAATACAATGCTTTCTCCAGAGACTTCAACATTTCCTTCTCTCTACTTTCTGGTTTGGACAGAGCTGCCTTTGTGTTTGGAGGAGGAACAGCTATGTCTAGACAGCACATACCTTCCCATCCTCAAACCTACGTTAAGGCTTCAGCTTTCTCCAGTCTGAGGATGGAGTGTGGTCCTCAATGTTTAGCTCTACATCTACAGATATCTGTCAACCTTCCATAGAACCAGGCATAGTTACTATGCCAAAACACAGTTTATCAGTTAGCCGATGGTACGTGCTCTGGGACTCTTGAGCGAGCTGGCAAGGCTGCTTTGTTCAACTACTTTAGTCACATCATGCATTTTTAATTACCTAAAGTACACGGAAGAAAAAACGTTAAAGAAGTAATTAGTTCTGTGCCAAATACAATTAAGTGACCGGGTGGAGAGCAGAGGGCACTTCCAACACATTCCAGTTCTGCTTTCTGTTTTAAACAGGAATTCATTTGCACTGCTCACCATGTTTGCTTGTTTCTTTCCTGCAAGGACCTGCGTTGTTTGGCTGTTATTTCCCCCTGTCACTCACATATTTGAAGGCCAGGAAAACAGAACGCGCAGTTTTCTCTGCAGGAGATGCTACCCAGAGCTCACATTTCGTTTTGATTCTCCCCCAGCCGTGTGACGGCGGAGTGAAGGACAGTTCAAGCACAGCTCTGCTTTTGCTTTCCCTTTCCCTGCCGACACTGCCTTCGGGCCCGACCAGCACCCCCGGCTCGCTCACCCCACGTACCCCGCGGGGCTGGGACGAGGCGGCCGCCCGGCCCCCCCGCGCCCCTTCCTCCAGAGTCAGCTCGGCTCAGCCCGGCGCCGCCCCCTCCCCCTCCGCCCCACCACCTACCGAGAGCGGCGGCGGCGGCCTCCGCCTGCGGCTTCCGCCTTCATGCGCCCCGGAACCGCGGCGCCCCCGCCTGACGCGCCCGCTCGCCGGGGGAGGGGCGGATGGCGGCTGGAGCCGGGCGTGGCGGGCGGGACCCGGGACACCCGCCGGCACAGCGGCGTTCCCGGGCAGCGGCACTCGGGACCGCCGCCTGCGCAGTGCGGCTGTGCGCTGAGCGGGGCCGGCAGGGCCGTTCCCGCAGACGGGTTGCGTGGAAGGGGACTACAAATCCCGGCGCGCCCCGCGCCGAGCGGCAGTTCTCGCGAGACTCTTCAGGGCTAACGCCTGGACTTCATTTCCCTCCGGCCTTCAGCACGCCGGAAGTGGCGGCGCGCGACTTCCGGGCTGTCGTGTGGGGTAGCAGCGGTGAGGAGCGCGGCGCTGGGGTGGCAGTGAAGGCCGGCAGCGGGCGGGGAGCGCGGCGGCGGCTGGGATGGACGTGACCGGGCCCGAGACCGACTGGCGCAGCACCAACTTCCGTCAGAAGCTCGTCAGCCAGATGTGAGTGTGCGCTCCGGCCCGGGTGTTGGTTAGGCCGCGCCTCGGCCGCTGCCGGAGCGGCTCCGGCGCCTCCCGCCGCCCCCGGGGCTGCCCGTGCTCGAATGGCTGCGGCTCGCCCGTCTGCGCTCTCCGCGGGTCTTCGCAGGTCTCTGGCTTTGTCCGTGATTGTCGCTATCCATGTGTGGGGGCCTTTAGCACCGGCTCCTGCTCGGATCTCGTGCCGGGGGAGCCGGCCCCCGTTTGGCTTCGCTTCTCTGATCCCCGTTGCTTTTTGCCTTCCTCCTCCCCGGGCATAGCGGCTGCTTGGCCTGCTGGGGAGCCTCTGTTTTAGGGTTTCCACTTTGTGATGCTTAGTGCTGCCCAGTCTCACATGCTCTGTTCTATGAAAACCACCGTCGTTACCTTGCATCTGACTTGTAAACAGCAAAAACGAAACGAAAATGTCAGCAAATGAATTTGTTGGTGATTTGGAATGGGGGGTTGCTGTGGCAGTTCTTGTGTGTTCGTTGGTATCTGCCTGATGTAAAAGGTTGCTTAAAAGGAATAAAGATTAGCCTTTTTGGTTGTCCACTGTGAAGCAATCTTTACTTGAATTACTTTGCTGCTCAATCCGATACTCCTGTTACAGAGAAGGTTCTTTTACCTTATGAAAGCTGATTATCATAGAACTGAGAGTCCTTTTCAAATCCTTATTTATGAATGCTTGAAGAACTTTGAGCATGCCTCGTGGCTTTTGAAGGCAGGGCTTTCCTGACTGATGTTTCAGAGTTAATTTTTTGGTATTCATGACAGATATGATGTTTGCTTGTCAAAGGTTTTTTCGTGTTCAGAGCTGATGTTTTACTGTCTAAACTTTGTGCAAGACAATTTATCGTGCCAGGTGAATCTCTTGTGTTTTCCTCTTCTTTTGTTTTGTACTTCTTCATCAACATAAGCAAACAGAACTGCCTTGCAGTGCCCTGAGACTTAAAGGAAATGGATACGAATCAGCAGATACGAACCTTAATGCAACGAGCATTTGTTGTTTGTGTGTTTGCTCTGCAAATTGTGACTGTTTTTCTGTGAGCAGTAAGCAGTGATGATAAATGTTTGAGTGGGGAGCATATAGTGAGAGACAGAGATTGAATAGGACAATAGTGGAGAAAGTAGAATTAAGATTTCTTCTGTTTGCTTAAACACTTGCAGATACACACAGACATCTTCTTATGATCTGTGTACTTTTTGTTGTAAATGTATTGATGCAGTCTTTTTTTTTCCCCAGAGGCTGTGTTCTGCAGGCAGCCTATCTTCCTTGTACTCCACCTTGCTTTGTAGTAATACTTCTTATGTTTTCATTCACTGGCTCACTTTAAGAGCAAGCAAATTTGTTTGGGATAAGCGTGCAGTGATTGCGGTGTTTGGTTGTCGTTTTTTTTTTTAATTTTTAAAGTGTATTATGTGTGTTTTTAAGTGTTCTATGTGTTAGATATCTGAAAATAAATTTCTTGTTGGCACTTAAAATAAAGCAAAGCTACCCCAGAAGTGGAGTTTATAATAGCTAGTTTTATTGAATGAAAAATAGAAGCAATATATTGCCTAAAAAGACTTGAACTCTGTGTGTAGCAAGTTCCAGTTTTCTTCCAGTGAAGCTTATGTAGTATTTGGAAGAAATGAGTCATCTGAAAGTTTTCTGAGCTTGTGAGAAGGTTGTTCATAACAGGCTTTTGTGTATGTATGTCTTCCAGTTCACTGTGCAAATGTAAGTGATAGGTATGTGTCAACTTGATCTTAAAAGCGTGGAACGATTTGCATACTTTGTTTTGGGTACCTCATTATAGCCACTGAATGTGGAAGTCTTAATTTATTGTTATTTTGCCTGCATCTCCCTTCCAACTCTGAATGTTAAGATACAGATAGGTAGATACAGATAGTTAGATATTTAGAATGATATTATATGAAGAGAAATTTCAGGGATGCTGTGTCCAATTGATGTCTCAGTGAATGTACCTGCAATCAGTGTGCATCATTTGGCTGTCATCACTTGAGAGAACACTGCATTTGACTTAAGTAGCTCCATCTAATATTGGGTTGTTGTGTGACTGCAGGCCCAAGCAGTCGCACAGGACTCTTGTTGGATGCAGGAATGCCTCAGCACTCAGCTGGGTTCTTCTTTAGTACTGCTGATTACACAGCCACACCAATAACTGTGTTGGCATAACCTGGCAGGGAAGGCTCACGGAGTTTTTGAAGCTATGAGGGGGTTGATTCTGTGTGCACCAGGAAGGTGATTTTCCTCACTGAAATAGTGGAAAGAAGGATAAAGCTAGAAGTAAGTCTGTGCAGAATCTGGATAGTCCTTTGCTTTCTCCTCTGTAGCCAAAAGCAGCATTGTGCGTGGCTGATTCTGACCCCAGATGTTTGGGAAGCTGAGAAGGAATAACTGCATGCATCAGTTCAGGTTAGGGGCTGAACTGTTACAAATGAGCTCCAAGAGAAGGACCTGGGTGTCCTGCTGGACAGCAAGTTGTATGTGAGCCAGCGGTGTGCCCTTTATAATGCTCTAGAATGCAAAAAATAAATGGTAGATGGATGTACATGTAAGAGTAGGTAAGTTATTTATTGTGAATTATTTTTTTTTGTGGTCCTAACACCACATTGGTCACTGTCTTTGTATTGTGGCCACTGATCTGTGTGTTACTTTCTTTACTTGCATTTGCATAACATTGTCTTTTTGCCTGCTCAGTTCTTGGTGCTCTCAAAATAAGAGATGTTTTATAATGGGACTAACAAGTTACTGATGAGTCAGAGCATGGTGTGGACTTAGAGGAAGGAAACCTTTCTGAAAGAGAAACTACTGGAAGAAGGAAGGCATAAATGAAGAACTGGATGCATTTTCTTCCACTGCAACAGAGTTCCTTTATGAGTTGTTCATTTTAAGGCTTGCTTGCCCACGAAAGAATCATTATTCTGCTTTATGCTCAGAGTCTGCTTTGTTTTAAATGACCTTTATGTATAAAGAACATTTTGTAGTGTCTCTCAGGCCACGTGAGCAAGTGACCGTGAGGGAGGCTTGTGCAGGTAGCTGTGCTTTACTGACTAACCTGCTGTGTCTTGCAAAGAAGTAGCAATGCACTCCTTGTCTGCTGCTCTGCATGGTAAGGGTGTGAGTTGTGGCAACTGAAGCTCCTGCATTTTAAGGCTGTTGCATCTGTTCTGCTCAGTTGTGTGAAGGGTTTACCGAGTTATTTCAGGAAGCTGAGCTAGGCCACTGCTCATACAAACACCAGCTCTGCTGCAAGGAATGTGGTCAGAATTCAAGGGGAAGAAAACAGTAATCTATTTCAGTCTGGCTGAAGCTTTCCCTACCTTGCATTTAGTGTAGGATAGTTGCTCGTGCAGGAGCAGGTACTGAGAGATAGGTTGCTAAGCTATTAATTACAAGGTGAAGGTATTTCCTGGTAACTTGTTTGTGGAATATAGACTGTAGCTACTAGGCTGCTTTAAAACAGAACAGGTTTTACAGTGAACGAGACATTTCCAAAAACAAATATGTCTGTAGGATTTGAATAGGGAGGGCTGTTTGCCTGTCTGAACTGCTGATTTTAGGACTTGTTTATCTCAGTGCATTTTTTTGCAGTGGAATTGCTTGCTTCTTTTTGATATACTGAGAATGCCCGTTGTTCTCTGCCATAGCAGAGAACATTTGTGTGGGGGATTTATTTCCTTTTCATCTTACACTTTTAATGTCCCATCCAAAGGGCAGACCTAGGTCCAGTTTACTAGAGGTTTGATGGCTGTGTGATTCTGGGTGGTAGAGAACAGTAAGATTGGGGGGGAAGCTTTTTATGACCAACTTCCATCAATACGGCTTCTCATCTTCCTGCTTCATCTGCTGCTGTCATGCTGATTGTCCCCTCCTGCTGTGCACAGCTGCCCTTCTGTGTCCTGATCAGTGCTCCAACTCCTCATCACTGCTCATTGCCTGAAGGCAGAGATATTCTACCAATCTTCTAAGTTTGCTACTTTATGTTTAGAAGAGGGTAAAAAGCTACTGTACAGACCTTTCTAACTGCAGGAAATATATATATTTTTAACATCCTCAGTTAGTGCCCAGCCTCATTTCTTCTCTTTTTCTTTTCCAGTGATGAAGCAATGAGGAAGGCCGGTGTTGCCCACAATAAGTCCAGCAAAGATATGGAGAGCCATGTGTTTATGAAGGCCAAAACAAGGGTAAAACCTCTCTGTTTATTTTCAGAAGTTATTGGCATGTCAAAATTTTGGAATGAACCACAGAAACAGCAAATCCAATGCATGTTAAGAATTGGTCTCTGCTCAGAGTACCCAGTTATGAAGATTTTGGGGTTATGTGTGTTCCTCTTACGTTGGGGGAAAATTAATCATTTTATGTCTTGTGGGTGCAGCAAAGTGGATTTCAAGCCAAGGGGTGCGCTGAGACTGCAGCATTGAATGCACGTATGGGATTGTGCTTGATTAAACTCTTATGGAGTGAATTGCATAGAAGTTTCTTTATCTGCAGTGTAGCACTGTCCGTAATAACCAGTT